TATCATAGTTTTCCTTCATCTTTGTTTCCCCTTCGTTCCTGAAGGTTATTTTTCTGAATATTTTCAGGAGCCCCAATGGCACAACAGTTAAGTGTTCAGCTGCTAATCATAAGGTTGGTAGTTTGATCCCACCCAGGAAAACGACCTGGCGATCTGCTTCCATAAGGATTACAGCCAAGAAAGCTCTGTGGGGCAGCTCTGCTCTGTTACGTGGGGTCACCATGAGTCAGAATTGACTAAACAGCACACAAGATGTTATTTTTTCATCTCTTGAGAAATGTTGTGCCATTTCCTTCTGGCCTCCATAGTTTCTGGTTAGATGTCCGCTATCCTTTGGATAGTTTTCCAACCAAGATGCGGTTTCTCTGTCACTGCTTTTAAGGTATTTTTGTCGTCATTAGTTTTCAGAACTTTATGATGTCTCTTGAAGTGATTTACTTTGGTCTGTCCTGTTTAGAGTTCACTCAGCTTCTTAAATCTGTACGTTTGTCTTTTGCCAAATTTAAGAAATATTCAGCCATTGTTTCTGGAATACTGTTTCAACCCCAAACTCTTTATCTTCTCTGGGCCCCTTAAGTACACAAATATTAGATTTTTTTATTACAGTTCTGAGATTCTTGTTTTCTTTCCCTTCTGTCTTTTCACGGTTGTTTAGATTGCCTAATTCCTATTGTTTTGTTTGCAGGTTCACTGATTCTTTCCTCATTCTTCTCCATTCTTCTGTTGAGCCTATAAGCGACTTTTTTTCAACTCTAAAATTTCCATTGGCTTTTTCTTTATATCTTCTATTTCTTTGTGGAGATTTTCTTATTTCTTTGCTGAGACTTTATATGTCTTTTTGTTGTTGTTTCTGGTGTGTTTGTAATTGTTTACTGAAACAGTTTTTGGTGACTGCTTATAATCCTTGTCAGATAAAGCCACCAATTGTGTCATCTCCCTGGTGGGTCTGTTAATCTCTCATTCAAATTAAGATTTCCCTGGTTCCTGATATGAAGAATAATTTTTTTTTTATTGTATTCTGGACATTTTGGTTATTATGAGAATCTTGATTTTATTTAAACTTCTGTTTTAGCAAGACTCCTCTGACATCTTGCTGGCAGGGAAGTTGGGTCCCTTATTACTTCCAGGCGAGAATGGAAGTTCAGGCTTCCTACAGGCCTTCACTCATACCACCTACTATGCCATTCTTTCCTACCTTTATAGCACTCTCCCCTTCCCCCATTTTAGGTAGCCAATATCTAAGTTGCCCGTCCCTATCAGCCCTGTATACAGAGGGGATAGGATTGATGCTTGATATGAAGGTTCCTTCCCTCTCAGTCAGTATTTTGAGTTAGCATGTCCACTTTCTTCTCTCAACCTTTCAGTCTCTTTATGCTTGTTGGATATAACATCCAGGTGGGTTGTTTCTTTGTTTTTGTGCTTAGTGGGTGGAATAGGGTAAAGTGATTCCACTTCTCTCTCAGGTATTAGGAGGAGAGCTAGCAAAATAAATAAATAAAGACCTAGAAAACCTGGACACTTTCAATCTTACTGGCACAATCGCAGCAACTTCTTTATCCCTCTCATGTATGCTTAGGTTCACTACCTTCTATAAGGAAGAAGATTGGCAACTTTTTTTTTTTAAGCTTTTATTGTGAATTGAGTGATAGTTTACATGGGAGAATATTGGTTGTTTTGTTTCTTTTTAAGCTTTTATTGTGAATTGAGTGATAGTTTACATGGGAGAATATTGGTTTTGCACTCAACCTATCATATAGCAACTTTTTTTTTTTTTTTTTAAAGTTTTTATTGTGAATTGAGTGAAAGTTTACAGGGCACATCATCAGTTTTACAGGCCTATCTAGACAAGATGAAAACTATTCAGTGGGGACTCTTATCTTCCCCCACACACTCTTAAACTAAATTCCCTCTTGAAACCTTATAAGCCAGTCACTTTGTGCCTTTATTGTCCCCTCATTTTAGGTAGCCAATGTGTAAGTTGCCCAGCCCTATCTACCCTGTATGCAGAGGGGATAGCATTGATACTTAATGTGAAGACTCCTTCCCTCTCTGTTGGTATTTTGAGGTACTACCTCCATAAATAATAGGTCAAGTTCATAAAATTGTAGCAATTTACCCTTGTTTCCTTTATCAAAAATTGTTTTCTTTTTATCTTCCTCTAGTCGAGTTCTGATTATCAAGCCATCAAGGCTAGGTCAAATGGGTATTATATGCTAGTTTGGGTGTTCTTGTGTGTCTCCCCTCACTTCATATCAGCTGGATGGTTCATTCTCAGCTCTAGCGCTCTGTGGCTATGTCCTTGTCCTTGGGCTCAGGTGTCTCCAGGTCTCACCACACTTTCGACCAACCAGCCCTTGCTCTTCTCTCTCTCATCTCTAGGTTAATGGGAGTCTACGGAACATGGTTGAACTCAGCCCATTTCTTCATTGTTGCCTTTCTCCTTTTCCATTCACAAGTAGACCAGTGTGATCACTGGCAAGCTTACATGCCTGCTAATATGTTCCCTTTGAGTTTCATTCTTAGAGGAGGGTTTGTCCTCAAGGGACTTGATTGCATGCCTTAATGGCTTCCTGGTGAACAACCTGCTAATTCTTGTAGTAGCCAGTCATACTGCCATTTTTATTTTGTTTTTTTTTTTCCTAATGGTCTTTCTTTGAAGATGTATTTTCTGTTGTTCTAGCAATTCCAGGCTGGTCTGCTTGTCCTTGCTAGTGGGGATGTCCCACCTCAGAAGGTTCTGGATGGGGCTCAGGATTCCACTTAAGGTCCTATATACTGCAAAGGCTTTGCAAGAGACCTATTTCAATGGGCACATTCTAGAACCCTTTTTAGGTATTCCAATCAGTTATAGGCTGAAGACGGGCTTATAAGCATTCTGTAATCATGTTTCCTGAAATTCCTTTCTATCTCACTCAAGTGTCTATTTTACAATAGCAGGCAAGGGAAACCAATATTCATAAGACAGTCAAGCATCTTAGTATTATTTCCCCTCTTCAAACTATGCCTAGATCCCTGTATCACAGAGCCCTGTTGTTCCAAGGTTAAGCATGCATCACTATTTACCTCTGTTCCATTTAGCCCATGCATACCTTAGGAACCTTTTTTCAAAAAAAAGGAAAAACTCTTTGGCATAAAATAGTAAGGCTGCCTCTACTCCTTTGTCATGTTTTGAGAAACTTTAGCTCCTGTAACACCCATCACATCCTGTTTCTAGACTCAGAGCCCAGGAGACCCCTGGTTTCAGCCTCACCCACTTCCTTGTTTTTCCCTTCTATTTATGGACCACTGAAATAGTCATCTTGTATTTTGAGCTTTACTCTGTCTTTGTAACTCTACTGGTTGGAGCAAAACAGTTGGGCTGAAGCATACTGTATACACCATCATGAGCAGAAGTCCTTATTCATTCTTAATACAGTTTGCTGCATAGAAAAATCTATAAGCTTTGTGAATCCTAGATTGTTTCATCCTTTGCAGGAAACAGTATGATTCTGAGCCAGTCACTCAACCTTTCTGGCTGCAGTTTTCTGAAATGTTAATTGAAGTGGTTGGATTCGATCCTTTTTTAGCTCTCAGAGTCTGTAAATCAAGAAAGATTTTTAAAAATGTCAAGAAGAAGTTATCACTTAAGCTTAAACTTCAAAACTAGAGTTCTGAAAGTTGAAAAGATAAAATCAAAGATAGTATGGGATATAAATTTTGATGATTACAAAGACATTCTTGGAGTCCTGGTGTGGTGCTATGGGCTAATGCATCAGATTGCAAAGTTCTTTGAACTGCAAGGCCGGTGGTTCAAGGTCACCAGCTGCTCCTTGGAAACCCTATACGGGGTCGCTATGGGTCGGAACTGACTGGATGTCACTTAACAACAACCAAAGACGTTTTTGGATATTAGAACTGGTAAATAAGAGGGACCTTTTAGAATAAATAAACTGCAATCTTACATTAAACATCAGGTAATATTCAGAAGGAATTTATACCCCAAAGTCCAAATTAAGAATGTTATTTTAGAAAATGAGAAAATGTTTAAATAAATTTAGGTATTAATTGTTGAAGGAAATGTGGAAAACATTGCCCTTCCTTATGTGGAAAACAGCTCTACCACCTAATAAGACATGTTTGGGATGATTTAAAATAATTTTAAAGCTTAGTTTTAGAAGTGTTATATTAAAATTTTTTGATCTAAAAATTATATATTATTTCTTCATTTGGGAGCTGTCAGTTTTGTCCATAATTTACAAAATGTGAACTGTTCTTTCCGGGTTTTTGCTTTTGTTATGCATATAATATGTGTATATTATAGGATGAACTTCCTGCCTGTAGCATTTTTTAAGAGATTACATTTCAAGAAGAATATAGTTTGTATGCCTGGAGCTATTAAAGAATATTATGGAGCTATGTAGCAATAACTATGTGAGTATTGCCTTAGCAAGGAGGTTGTTGTTGTTGTTAAGTGCTGTCAAGTTGGTTCTGACCCATAGCAACCTTGTATAGGGTTTCTGAGGAGCAGCTCGTGAGCTTAAAAGCCACCAACCTTGTGGTCCAAACCAACTTTACAGTCCAGGGCATTAACCCACAGTGCCACACCAGGCAACGAGGTAGCCAATTGTATATGAAACACTTTGATGGGTAATATTTCCTAAACTCATTTTTACCTGAAATTCCACTTACTTTTCCAGTAAATCTGTCTCACATATTTAATATTTCTCTTGATAGCATTTATTTCTAGCCAAGTTTCCAAGTCTAAATTTATTTGATCAGATCATTTATTATTTTTTTATTAAGTGCTCTAACTTGGGTTTTGTTGTTAATAACTTGAAAGTTATGTATACTTAATATAAAAAGATAATCAAACGTTACAGAATTGCGTGAAGTAAAGAGTGAAAGTCCCATCTTCCCCTGAATTGCTTCACTCAGTAGAGCCACTCTTAACTGTTGGGGACTTGGAAGTGGTAGTATTTCAAAGAGCTTTCTACATGATTTCATGGTCAATGTCATTTCAGGTTCTAAGCAACATTCATACTGTCAGAGCCACATGGCAACCTAAAAAGCCCAAAACATGGACCTTTTCTCCCCAGGTAAGTAATCTGCTAAGTGAATCGAATGTGAAGTGAACCTCCTTTATCTAGTAAGAATTGCTCAGTTGATTTTTAAGACAAGGTCATCAAAGTATATCCCTGAAACAATGTATTTATGTTTAGTACATGATCTATGGGACCAAATTTGAATCTTTAGCTTCTTTAAAGTTCTTTGAGAACTTTGATAAAATTACTTACATTTGTGACTCACTATAGTTATAATTCCTATGAATCAGCTCATTCAGTGAATTTCAGAAGTTAATTCTTAAAAATGTCCATTTTATGAGAAAATCAAAAGATAAACTCAGGACATGGAGTTTTTTTAAAAATGACAGCTTTCAAATGAACCAATAAATAACATCACGCTAAAAGGAAGCTCTGGTAGCATAGTGGTTACGAATCGGGCTGCGAACCTTAAGGTCAGCGGTTCGAAAAGGAAGCTCTGGTAGCGTAGTGGTTATGAATCGGGCTGCGATCCTTAAGGTCAGCTGTTCGAAACTACCAGCTGCTCCGCGGGAGAAAGATGAGGCTTTCTACTCCCGTAAAGATTTACACCCTCGGAAACCCTGTACAGGGTCGCTATGGGTC